GCAGGAGCTCTGTTGTGGCTAACTACAGTCAGCTGCTGCTGGCATATCTATGCTTGCTTCTTTGTTTTTCATACAAGGACTCACTGTATTGTCCAAGCTGGTCTTGAACACCTGGCCTCAGGTGACTTTTCCTGCCTTAGCCTCCTGAGAGGCTGTAACTATAGGCCCTGGCTTGGCATGTTTAGTTTTTTCTTCTTCCAAAGTTTGCTATTGAAGAACAGAATTTGTAGGGGCTCTTCAGTGTTTCTCATTCCCTTGTTTCTTGTGGGCACATCTTTTTACTCTGTGCTGTCCTTCCGGTGGAGTAGTGAAGATCTAATGAATACACTGCTGTTCGTTTTGTTCATCACTGTTACTGCTGTTTATCAGTTCATTACTTTTTAGATGATTGCCCTGAGTATTATAAGGATCTTGTGATTGTGGCTTTCTAAGAAAAAACAAACAAACAAAATAACTATTGTGCCTTACATTTATGGAACCTACAGTTTGTAGAATCTTAACCTACTAAAGGCATCTTCTGTTTTAGATTTTAAATGTTTTTTTTTGTTTTGTTTTGTTTTTTTTGTTTTTTTTGGGGGGGGGGCAGGGTTTCTCTGTGTAACAGTCCTAGGTGTCCTGAAACTCATTTTGTAGACCAGGCCAGCCCCAAACTCGCCTGCCTCTGCCTCCCAAATGCTGGGATTAAAGGCGTGTGCTACCACTGCCCGGCTAAATGTGTAATTTTTATAATGTGATATAAGTGATTTATTTTAAGTAAATAACTAGGATTAGGATATACCTAATGTCAAATTAACTTTATTACTTTCTGACAATAGTATTAACAACCACATACATTTCTGTAGCCTACTAAAATATTTTAAACAGCTTCTCCCTCAGTAGGGAAAAAAACTATTAATAAATCAACCAAAGGAGCTTTCTTACTCATCTAGCACAGATTGGTATTTGAATTGAACAAATGACTATTTGGAAGATTGAGGCATAGTTAAGAGCATACTGGCAGACATGCTCAGTGAGTCATACCATCTGGTTACAGTCATACCTGGGTGGTGGTCATTAAAACAAAACTCCTGGGGATCTGTGTATGACTTAATTATACTGCAGAAACATATTGGGCTCCACTGGCAGGTTACTTTGGAACTTAAAGCCAATTCACTGGCATACGTGCTTTCAAAACATTAACGTTGCACTTACTAAATGAGTAAAAAATTGTTGGCCCAAATTTGGAGACTTAAAAAACGTATTTTTAGAGTTCAGGATGGGCATTGCTTTAGTATTGGCTCTGAAAAAAATGATGTGACTTTTTCCCCCCCAATGCTGTCATCACATAGTGTGACTCATATCATTATAATGAGCTATTTTGCAAGCACTGTGTTCATGTGATAAGTAGACTAGCATGAGAAGTGGATCAGCTTCCAGGAGTACATGCTAAGATAAGAATACGTCATTTTTGACCTGTTAAGGATTCTGGCTTTTTTTTTTTCCTTTTTCTTTTCTCCTTTATTTCTTTGTTTTTGTTGTTGTTTGTTTTTTGTTTTTCAAGACAGGATTTTACTGTGTAACAGACCTGGCTGTCCTGGAACTCTCTCTGTATACCAGTCTGGCCTTGAACTCACAGAGATCCTCCTGCCTCTGCCTTCCGAGTGCTGGGATCAAAGATGTTCACCATCGGGCTGGCCAGGATTCTGTTTTTGTTTTTAAGAGATTACATTTGGTAGGTAGAGCGACAATCTGCTAGCTGGGCATGGTGCTGCACACCTGTCATCCCGGCACTTGGGAAATGGAGGCAGAAGAAGGATCAGGAACTTAAGGACAGCATGCTACAGACTGAGTTGTAGGTGGAGTTGGACACTGTGTGACCCTGTCTCAGGGAAAACAAAAGCTCACAACATTGTAACTTCTTCAAAGAGTTCTAAGACATTCCCTCCTCCCCCCACACACTGTGTGCATATGGGGTTTGTTTTGTTTTTTTCCTTGTAATTACCACTACAATCAGAACATGGAGGTGTTCCTTCAGCCTGTAAAACTCTTAGGCTTTTTTTCTCTCCCTGACTAGGATCTTTGGTTCTGAGAACAGTTTTCTGGTTGCTCACTTTTACTCACCATGCCTGTAAGGTTAATTCAGACTTGCCTGCAGTAGCTTGTCCCTTTTCACTCTTTATTTCACCCTATCACATGACTTTTTAAAAAAAAACAAAAAAAAACCATTCCTTGTTTGAGAGGCAATTAGATTGTTTCTAATTTTTGTTGTATATGAATAGAGAAGGTATAAACAAAAGTAGACAAGTTTGGGTGCAAATGTAGATTTATATCTCACTTGTGACCTTTACTACAAGGTCATGTAGCATATGTGTGTGTGTGTGTGTGTGTGTGTGTGTGTGTGTGTGTGTGTGTGTTTTATCTTTAACAGGCTTGTCCTGGTGTTCTCTTACACTGGTTTTGGAAGCTGCAAATTTCATACTTATTAGTCACTGTTGAAACTGTTATACTAACATTCTGTGATTAATCAGTATTTTTAATTTGATAATATATAGTTGGAAATATGAAATGCTTTCTCAGGTATTATTATTGCTAAAACCTTTAAATGTGTCCCCCTTTACTCTTATAGATTGACATTGTATGTTTAAATTTGCCTGTTTGCTGGGGTCTGTGTTTATTCCTTTGAATCTCAAAAATTTTGTCTAGTTTTTTTTTCTTTTTTTGTTTTTTCCAGACAGGGTTTTTCTGTGTAGCCCTGGCTGTTGTGGAACTTGCTTTGTAGACCAGGTTGGCCTTGAACTCACAGAGATTTGCCTGTCTCTGGCTCCCGAGTGCTGGGATTAAAAGGGTGCACCACCACCATGCAGCATGTAGTTTTGTTTTTTAAAGTGTATATGATGTAAGTTTCTTTACTAAAAAGTCTCCTGGGTAAAAACTTTTTTAAATCTGAAACTACTGCCATTTTTATCTTGTTCTTCAGTAATGGCTTTTCTGGATCACAGCAGCTATTTCCTTACCATGTGAAGTTAATGTTCTCATTCCCGATGAAAGTGCTTATCATTTCATTTAAAGTCTTTGAAATTTTGACAGAGTGTTTCTAACTGTAGATTTTATTTTCCACAATTTTGTTAAGCTAGTTTATTGGATCTGAAAACCTCAGCCATTGTCTCTTCAGATGTATCTTCTTCATTCCTTTAGCCCTGTAGCTGTAGAACTGGTTTTCGATGTCTCTGAGGCTTCCTAATCATAGCCTCCTTTTTGTCTTTATCTTAACTTCTGGTTGTACTTATCCTTTTTTGCCTTTTTGTCTTCTGGTTCATTAATTTTCTGTTCAGGTATGCTTATTTATTTATTTTTGTTGTTGTTGTTCTTTTTTTTTTTTTTTTTGTCGGAGCTGAGGACGGAATCCAGGGCCTTGTGCTTGCTAGGCAAGTGCTCTACCACTGAGCTAAACTCCCAGCCCATTGTTTTTTTTTAAGATGGGCTCCCATTATGTAGTCCTGGTTGTCCTGGAACTTGCTGTGTAGACCAGGCAGGTCTCCACCTGCCTCTCTCTGCCTCTTGAGTGCTTGGATCAAAGGTGTGCGCCACCACACCCAGGCCTTTGTTCAGATATGTTCAATCTGCTTTTTAAACTGGTTTGCTGAAAATTTAACTTTCACATTTATAAGCTTTCATTTCAAAAAATTGGGATTTGAAAAATGTCCCATCTCCCTTCTCACCTCTTCCCCTTCCTGGAGAAATGGCTCAGCAATTATGTGACTGTACTGTTCTTGCTAAGGGCCTGAGTTTGGTTTCCAGCACCTCACACTGGCCAGGAACTCCAGTTCTAGGGATTCCTGTGCCCTATTCTGGCCTCCTGGCACCTGTACTGGTATCTACATACCTCCCAATCCACACACATTATTACAAATAAACAACAAAACCAAAAGAATATCTTGTTTGTCATACTGTTAGCATCAAAAGAAGATATTAAATATACTAAGTGCCTGTGTAGGTGCTTTGTAAGTATTTTCTTTTACATTAGTAACTTACATTTTTCTGGCCAGTTGCTTTGCATAATATAGTTCATTCTTGGTTATTTGTTGCTGATACTGTTTTTTATTCTTTAAAAATTTTAACATTTATTTTGTGTATGTGTGCAGGTGTGGGTGTGCCACAGCACCTGTGTGGAGGACAGAGGTCATGTGTGTGACTAGTGGGAGTCAGCTGTTCTCAGGATGATGTGAGTTCTAGGGGTTGAACTCTGGTCACCAGTGTCTTAACCTGCTGAGTTAGCTCACCAGCCACATTTTTATTTGTTTTTTTTGTTTTTTTGAGACAGGGTTTCTCCGTGTAGTTTTGGTGCCTGCCCTGGATCTCATTCTGTAGACCAGGCTGGCCTTGAACTCAAAGAGTTGCACCTGGCTCTGCCTCCCGAGTGCTGGCATTAAAGGTGTGCAACACTACCTCCCGGCCAGCCACATTTTGTTTTTAACCTAAAAAAAAAAATCCCCTTCTCAATGCCTAGTTCCTATTACTTTGCTACTTTGCCTCTCCTTATTCCAGAAAAGCTTTTACTTTTCTATCTTCCTTGTAAACACTCTTTTAAAAAGAGTTTATCTGGGCCAGCTACATAGAGTAATGCGTAAAGATGCTTGCTGCCAAGCCTGGTGACCTGAGTTCAATTCTTAGGACCTGGACCAGAATGGTGGAAGGAGAGAACTGACTGTCGCAAATTGTCCTCTGACTTCCACATGTGCTGTTCTCTGCTGAGCATGTGCACGCACATGTACCCACCCACAATATATATAATTTTTAAATAAAAATCAAATTAAATGTAAGTCAAAGGAATATTGTGGCAGTTTGAATGCTAGTACTGTGGAGTTTAGCTAAATTTACTGTATCTGTATGATAAGCAGCAGTTTAATGTTAAATAATTCTGTTTATGGGATGAAAATACTTATAAGTTTAAATACACTAAAATGTTTTGAATAATTTAAAAATATACAGTAGTAAATTTTGTAAAATATTTTATCTTTTAGGAGAGGACTAAATCCACCTCACAGGGTGAAATCTATCTCCATGACAACATTTACACAACAGGAAATTGAATTCCTGCAAAAACATGGAAATGAAGTAAGTATTTTGCAATTTTCAACTTTGTTGCAGTCATTTTAATATGATTTAATTAGTTGCTTAAAATGATGTTTCCTTGTCTCAAAATGTTATTTTTGTGTTCTGTATTTAGATATTTAAGAAAGTTCTTACTTGATAATGCATTTGGAATTAATGCCTAAATGTTTCCCCATAATAAACCTAGGTACTTAAAACTTTACTTAGAAGTAAAACCTAGGTACTTAAAACTTAGCCGTGTTGGCTGTAGAAGGCAACTTTGGTGGGTGTCAGAATCCTGAGGGAGGAAGGAGGAGGGAAGAGAAGAGCTAGCTCTGTCATACTGCTCTAAACTTGTTCAGGTCTTACTCGAGGAGCTCTCAAGGCCATCCATCCTTTCAAACTAACATTTTAATTAGATGTATGTGATGTCTAGTGCTTACAGGTGCTCAACAGCGAGAGGGTCCCTAGTTCTGAAGGGTAGCATGGTGTCATAGGGGAACTGTGATCTCTAATGGGCTTTCAGTAATCTCATGCTATTTGCTTATTTATTTTTAGATTTGAGTTTTGTTACTAATAAAAGTAGTGATCTATTGTAAAAATGGGTAAAATTAATAGAGCATTATGGGGGGCTTTACCCATTTGTCTGTGGGAGGTCCCCTTTCACTTTTTCCCCAGGATACTCTTGAGGAGGGAAGAGTGAGAAATATTTAGATAGAAGGATAGAGGGGAGAGAAACAGATAGAAACACAGGACAGCCTCAGGAGGGCCTGGATCCTTATCCACTGGCCCCTTCTGTCTCTTCTAAAGGGCCTTTTATGGGAATGCCAAGGGGTGCAGGAAGAGACCTCCCCCTAGCACAGCCAAGTGTAGACTCTTCCAATCACCTGGTGACCACACATGTGGTAAAACAATCTACTAAAGCAGCCCTGCTGGGTAAAGCAAGCCCAGATCTTACTAGGAAACCTTTGTGGGTTCCACAGAGTATGGAATTGCTTTGTTTTGTTTTTGAGGGGAGGTTTTGAGACAGGGTCTCGCTATATAGCTCTGGTTGTCCTGGAACTCACTATGTAAGCCAGGCTGGCGTCGAACTCACAGAGATCCACCTCCCTTTGCTGCTGGGATCAAAAGTGTGCACTGCTATGCCTGGAGGGAATGCTTTTTTAATCTTGGCAAGGCTGAGTGGGTTAGCTCAGCTTGGTTGATAAAAAACATTATTCACAGGAAACTCCTGTTTTCTAGGAAGAAAATAGGATGTCAGGCGTACAAATATTATTCTCTTTCCAGTGCTTTAGAATGATTACTTAATTTACCTAACTAACCAAGCATTGTGTAGTTCATATGTAAACCCAGCTCTCAGAAAGAGATCAGAAACTCAAGGTCATGATTGGCTACATAGCAAATTCTGGGCCAGCCTGGGCTGCATGAGACCCCTGTCTAAAACCAAATGAAATAGAATTATTTGCCTACTATGATGCACATGTACTTTTGTTTCTAAAATGTTGAAGAATGAATTCACAATTGTGAAATGTTCTAAAATACATATTTAAGAGAATAGAGCACACTTTAGAGTTTCTCATTTTGGCCAGCAATAAAGTATTTTGAGTTAGTAGATGATTTGAGTACAATATAGGAAGCTACAAAGCTAGATGGCACGGTTCACCAGTTAAGAGCACATACTGTTCGTGTAGGGACTTGAGTTCAGTTCCCAGCACCCAAGACAGGCAGTTTACAACTGCCTGTAACTCCAGCTCGAGGGGATCTGATGCCTTCTTCTGACCACCAAGAGCCCTGTATGCTATGTCTGTCTTGTCTGTTTGCCTGATTATCCCCTCCCTCCAAAAAAAATCTTTTTAAAACAGTGCCATACTTAAACCATATATTTAGGATTAAAATACCAGTGTCATACATCTTGTACATGAATGAATTTATGTCTGGAGATGAGTGATTTTGAATTAGGAGATCAGAAAGTATATTGGTTTTGGCAGTGTTCTTAGGTCTTTTCTTTTCCTTCTGATTCACCATGGTAAAGTTCCGGTGTGCTGGAGGATGTGTTTGTTTTTTTTGTTGTTTGTTTGTTTGTTTTTTTGTTTTTCGAGACAGGGTTTCTCTGTGTAGCTTTGCGCCTTTCCTGAAACTCGCTTTGGAGACCAGGCTGGCCTCGAACTCACAGAGATCAACCTGCCCGGCCGATTGTTTTTATTATTGGAAACATTGTTAATTTAATCTGGAAAGCACCATGGATGAGTGATGGATAACTTGTAATAATGTATCGAATAGAACTCACTTGCATGCCATGTGCTATATATGGTCACTCAGGCAGTTATATAATGGCAAGCATGTATACAACCATATGCACATATAATTTAATCCTGTGTTACATGTTCCTACCCAGAACCAGTGGGAAAGATTACTAAGATTCAAGGCAAAAGGCATGGAAACATGAAACCATCAATTGTAACCCTCAGTGCATTGGCTTATCATATGTATCCATCTAGGGAAATTATCCCATCATTCAGAACTTGGTCAAGAATTATTCACTATTTTGAAAAACTATAAAACTAATGGTTATAGTCATAAATGAAGTACCTCTGTATTTGGCTGCTAGTAGCTATGATAAGCGATTAATACTGTTATTTATAAATGTGCACCAAGGCTGGATGTTTTACAAAGTATATCTTTAGTTTCTATAGATAGGCTTATAAATTATTTAGCTATTAAGTGTGTTTAGACTCTCATAGAATGGGAGCAGATGTAGTGAAATATATCTCTTATAAGTCATAGGGCATGGAGTGCCAGCCAGATGGTAAGGATATACATGACAGCAAGATGCTGTATTTATTTGCTATGTTTTTGGCCAACAAATTATTTCACACACTTTTTCCACACACCTTACCTGGAAGCTTAGTCAACTTTTTGTCACTATAATAATTACCTGAGGTAACCTGTAAAGAGTAAATATTACTTTGCCTTTTAAATTTGTTTTTGTATTTATTTATTTATGTACCTATTTATTTATTTTGGTTTTTGAGAAAGTTTCTTTGTGTGCCTTTGGCTGTCCTGGAACTCTGTAGACCAGGCTGGCCTAGAACTCACAGAGATCCCCCTGCCTCTGCCTCCTGAGTGCTGGGATTAAAGGTGTGTGCTACCACCACCGAGCTTTGTGTTTATTTTTGAAACAGCATCTCTTTATAGCTCAGGCCGGCCTAGAAATTTCTGTGACCCCCTGTATCAGTCTTTGAATGATGCCCAGCCTTAAAAGGTTTGTTTTGGTTTAGAATTGTGGAGGTTTCAGCCTATGGTCACTTGGATTGTGGGGAGGTAGCATATTGCAGCAAGAGCCTTAGAGCAACACTGCATGGCTCATTACCCAGGCAGGAAGGATGAGGGCTGGGCTTGGGGTCTCACTGTTGTTTTTAAGGGCTTGTGTAATGACTTTGAAAACCTCCCATAGGTCTCCTCTTAGAGGTTCCAGCACCTTCCAGTAGTACCACCATTGGGACTAAGCTGTTAACACATGGGTTACATGCTAGATCCATCTTGCTGTAATCTGAAAGCATCTTGTGATGTTTCCTTTCTGTCAAAGTCACTAAAAATTCTGTCTGAGGCCGGGCGGTGGTGGCGCACGCCTTTAATCCCAGCACTCGGGTGGCAGAGGCAGGCGGATCTCTGGGAGTTCGAGGCCAGCCTGGACTACCAAGTGAGTCCCAGGAAAGGCGCAAAAAGCTACACAGAGAAACCCTGTCTCGAAAAACCAAAAGAAAAAAGAAAAAAAAAAATTCTGTCTGAGGATAGGGTGGGAAGATGGCTCTGCTGGTAAAGGGCTTGTTGTATGAGCATGAGGACCTTTGTTCAGATTCTCAGAACCTACATTTAAGAAGCCTGGCATAGCACCATGTGCCTGTGGCATTAGTACTGGGAGTCAGAGGTAGAAGAATTCTGGGGGCTTGCTGTCCAGCCACTGTAGCCATTGAGCTCAAGGAGAGATCCTATGTCAAAACCTAAGGTGGAGAGTGACTGAGGAAGGCAACTTAATGTCATCCTTTAGCGCGCGCGCGCGCACACACACACACACACACACACACACACACGGAAAAACAGCATTTCCTTTACTGTCTTCTTTTGTGATACTGTGTGTGTAAATCTTGACCTTTTAAAGGAATTTCACTTTTGGTTCTCAGAGTTAGTAGTAGACCACCAGTGAATGGTGGTCTAGATAATTCTGTAGAAAAGAAAATGTAGCAATTATATAGGGTTTTTTTTTTTTTTTTTCTAGAAGTAAATTATCCTTCTTACGTGGTAGGGCATGTAAGCAAAGGACTAAGGAAAGCTTTATTGCTGATGCTCTGCAGGTGTGCACTCTATGCATATAAACAACATCCTTCATTGCTTGCTAGTGCTTGAGCTTTCTGCTAGATTGAGAACAAATAATTTCTTTTGAGGTAAAGTCCTCAGATAAAGTACATCTTTTCTTTGGGGGGGGGGTGTGCGCATGTGTGCGCACGCACACATTACTTGAGATGGAATCCCGGGCTTCATGTATGCTAGATACTCTACCAACTAAGCTATGTCCAGCCTCTTCCATTCTTTATTTTTGAAAGTGATTTTTCAATCACCTCCTTTATCAAGGAACTGTTATTGAGTGTTTATGTTACTGTGATGAGCAAAACTTGTTCCCAAATACTAAGCTTGAAGATTATGTCTTTAATTTGGTAAGTACACTTACATGAGGCATATTCTGATAAATTTTTACCTGTGCAATGCATTGTTGCTAACCCTGGGCAGGCACAGTGTTATTCAGCAGATTGCTTTGATGCCTAGCCTTAGCATTTCTGGTTTCCTCCTCCACTCCTGGTAGCCACCATTCTATTTTTGGAACCTCATAGAAGGAGATCATATAATGTTTGTCTTTCTTAGACAAATTAGTTTAGCTGTCTGTTCTCAAGGTTCATGCTTGTTAATATATAGCAGAATTTTTGAAGAAATATGTTTTAGGGAGGTTGGCAAGGTAAGTTTAGAGTATG